TGATAGCAGCCTTCAACTACCTGAAAGGGGGTTCCAAAGAGGATGGAGCTCGGCTGTTCTCTGGGGTGGCAGTTGACAGCACGAGGAGCAATGGTCTCAAGTTGCAGTGGGGGAGGTCTAGGTTGGGTATTAGGAAACACTATTTCACTAGGAGGGTGGTGAAGCACTGGAATGGGTTACCTAGGGGAGGTGGTGGAATCTCCTTCCTTAGAGGTTTTTAAGGTCAGGCTTGACGAAGCCCTGGCTGGGATGATTTAGTTGGGAATTGGTCCTGCTTTGAGCAGGGGGTTGGACTAGATACCTCCTGAGGTCCCTTCCAACCTTGAGATTCTATGATTCTATGACACCCCCCCCGGAGCACCTGGCACGGGCCACCACGAGAGCCGGGACTGCGGGCGAGGTGGCTCCCAGCTCGGATCCCATCTCCGTACGCTCTGGCGATCTGGCCAAGGCTACTGAGTGTGTCAGCGAGAACAGAACCCAGGAGTTCTGATGCCCAGGACCAGACTGTGCTGCCCGTCAAGCAACGTGGGGTCAGGGACCACGGCAAGGGCTGGGCAGGGCACGCTGTGATGTGGCTTCCACCTGCTCTCTGGCCTGTGCCCAGCCAGGCTGCCCTGCAGCCCACTTCTTCCTCCTCCCCCATCTCTTCCCTCCTCTTCCTCTCAGCCTGGGAGCCTGGCTTCTCCCTGCAGGGAGGGGATCCGTCCCTTGCGGGCCGGGCAATGGGGCGCTGCGGCGCGGCACTGGCAGGGCTGTCACGGGGACAGCAGAGACCCCTCGGAGAGCTGGAGCCAGTGGGAGGAGGCGGTGCCAGCCGGGGCAGCCAGGCCCGGTGCACATGGCTGCTGGTGCCAGGGGTCTGGGAGATCAGAGACGCGGCGAGTCCGGGCCAGCCCTGCAGAGCGCCGGAGTCCCATGGGGCGCAGGCAGCCGACTGGGCCAGTCCAGGGCTCGGGTCCATGCAGGGAGCCGGAGCACGGGGCTGCAGGCTGGGAGGTGTCACAGGGCTGCCCCGCCGGCCCCCGGGCTGCCCCCCTCGCTGCCCCTCCTCATCCTGCTACTGGGGGCTGCGGGGGCAGCTGCAGGCATGTCAGCAACATCCGCGCTCCAGGCTCCAGCGTAGAGACGGGACCGCATGGGCCATTTCTGCAAGACACGGGGGGAGGGAGGGCTCAGCATTGGGGCCATGCGCCCGGCTGGAGGCAGAGCCAGGGACCCCGGCTGCCTGGAGGCCCCAGGAGAGACAGACAGACAAGCAGGGGTGGGGAGGGCAGCTACTCCTGGCCAAATCCATGGGGCACCCTGGGGCCTCCTGGCTCTGCAGACCCGGGGGGGTAATTTGTGCCCCCCAAGTGCCTCACAGGCCCTGGCCCAGATCCAACCCCCCACTGGTCACTTCCCTCAGACCAGCTCCCACCACCCCTGCAGCCCCAAATACCCCACTGCCTCTGCAGCTCCCCAGTGCATCTCTGGGCGGGGGACGTCCCCGCGGGGCCTGGGGGATGGGATAGACCTGCCGTGAGCAGAGCCGGAGCTGCCTGCCCCCCTCGGCCTCACGGTACCACTCGAACCGAGGCGATGCCCTGGGCCCACCGCCCTGCCAAGGGGCACAGCACGCATGGCTGGCGCGAGCCAGGGACCCTGGGCAGCCCAGTGCATGCTGGGGAGCCCGGCCTGTTACCTTCATGGGGTGCAGGAAGTTGGGTGCCCTCGCCAGTGGGGCTGCCTCGGGGGGCGGCTGGCCCTGGTGCAAGGTGTGGGTCAGGTGGGCGATGTAGCTGGTGGCCAGGACGAGCACGTCCAGCTTGGAGAGCTTGGTGTCCGGCGGCACCGAGGGCAGCGCTGCCTGGAGCGCTAGGAAGGCCTGGCGCAGGGTCCGCACGCGGCTGCGCTCCCGGGCTGCGTTCTCGGGGCACAGCTTCCCCGCGCTCCCTCTGGGCAGAGCACGGCTGGCGTGGCCCTGGGGAGAGAGACAGCGCTGAGCCCGGACGCGGCCGAAACAGCCCCGGTGTGGCCTGGCCAGTCCCCAGGCCAAGGAGTGCGGGGACCTCCACGTCTGCCCAGAGAGCCTGGAGACCCCTCTGGATGCCCAATCGTCCCTCCTGGGGCCCGGAGACCCCTCTAGACGCCCCACCATCCCTCCTGGGGTCCGGAGACCCCACAGTCACTACCAGGGCCTGGAGATGCCTCCCAACACCCCATGGTCCCTCCTGCGGCGCAGAGACCCTGCCTGACACCCCACAGTCACTACCGGGGCCTGGAGACGCCTCCCAACACCCCACAGTCACTACCGGGGCCTGGTGACGCCTCCCAACACCCCACAGTCACTACCAGGGCCTGGAGACGCCTCCCAACGCCCCATGGTTCCTCCTGAGGCCCAGAGACCCTGCCCGACACCCAACGATCCCTCCTGGGGCCATTGGGCCTTGAGACCCCTCCTAACACCCCACAGTCACTCCCAGGGCCGGAGACCCTGCCCGATACCCGCGGTCACTCCCAGGGCCCAGAGACGCTTGCTTGCTCCAGTGAAGTGAGTGCCCAGCCCTGGCACCGTGCCCCAGCGAGGCGCCCCTCGGTTCTCAGACCAGTTCCCAGCCTGGTCCACTCCCCACTGTGCAGCCGGGCTGACTGGTCGCGCCGCGGTGTGCCCTGCCCCAGCGACTGGTGCCCGTGTGGTGCCCAGCCAGGGGTGCAACGTGTGCACATCTGTGCTCTGCTTGTCAGTGTCCAGTCCCACCGCCCTGGCAGCCCCAGGCTACTCCAGTCTGTGATTGTGTGACCTGCAAACACTGCCCCCCTCTCCGCCCAGTTCCCCCCCGCCAGGTCGTTAACATCTTCATTAACGGCCCCAGCCGGCACACAGAGCCCCCCATCCCGCCGGGAATGGGTCCTCCCTGCGCTCGGGTTCCTGCCCTTTGCCCAGCCAGGCCGGCTGCCTTCCATCAGCAGGGGCCGTGCCCCAGGCTTTTAGAAAGTTAAAACCTATAATGACCCCGTTTCCCCCCCCCGCTGCTGCTGGTGAGAGGAGCCGAGAGTCCCCCCACAACTCGCAGTCCTGCCCCGCTCCCCACAGCTCCCCCTGCCGGGAGGGGCTGGGGCTGCAGGAGCCAGGAGTCCCCCCACAACCCTCAGTCCTGCCCCGCTCCCCACAGCGCCCCCTGCCGGGCATGCTGGGTGCTTCTCCCCACTCGCACGCTCCCCCTGGTCCTTACCCTGCCTGCAGCTGGGAGGGTCCCCGTCACGCTGTGGCATAGGCTGGGCGCGTTGCTGGCTCCCTGCCTGTTGCCCGCCTCTCGCTGGCTTGCTCTCCTCCAGCCCGGCGGGAGCCTGAGTGTGCTTGGGCTGCCTCTCATCTTCCCGCCAGCCGGGGCAGAGGCTGGCCTGGGGGTGCCCGTCTCCAGCCCCTGGCCGGCCAATTGCTTCCCGTCCGCCCCTGTAAAGGTGCTCTCGGCCATGCCCAGCGCAGCGGTGCTGCTAGTCCCCGGGCCAGCCGGGGCAGTCTGCTCCCATCGGCAGGGCTGGGCGGCTGCGCTGGCCAAGGCGGGAGGTGCTGTGTGCCGGGTGTCCTGCCTGCTGGGAGCTGCTGGGAGTACCCCGCCGTGCTCGCTCCTTATCTGCCTCCTGGGACGTGTAAGAAGAGATGCCGCGGCTCGCTCCTGCTCGGAGCAGTATCCGGGCGAGCATCCCACGCTCCCCAGCCACCCCCTCCTTGGCACTTTGCATAGGAGAAGAACGCACGGTCCTGGCCGGAGCCTCCCTCCAGTTCTCCCAGGGCCTGGGCAGGGCTGGGGAGTTTGGCTCTCCCCAGGGCAGGGGCACCGCCCAGTGCCACGCTCCCTGCCTGTGCCTGGGCGTGCCGGGGAGAAGCAGGCCCCGTGCCAGTGCCCTGCTGCATGGGAGCTGCGGGTCGGCCCCTCGTCCTTTGACCCTCAGTGATGGGATCCTGGGCCTGGGCTCAGGGTCATGTGGGAGCCTAGGACGCCATGCCCCACCCTGGCCTCCAGCTCCCATGCTGCGCAGCCCGGCCCAGCCCCTCTCAGTGCCTGCCTGGAGCTCAGCTCTGGGCCGTGCTGCTGATTGAAGGGCAGTGAGGCGCTCCAGGGTCACCCGCAGCCACGTCTGTTTGCCACTGATCCCCCTGCCGGGCGACGAGCAGTCACAGCCCCCTGCACACGAGACAGGACCCACCTGAGACCAGCCCCATCTTGAGGTGCAATGTCCTCCCCCCGGGGACTCCCCGCTGTGCCCCTTCCTTGCTTCGCGCCCAGGTCTGCACAGGCCTGTCCGGGCAAAGCCAGGGCCAGGGCAAGTGTCCTCTGCGGGCAACCCTGCACTCCTGCTGGTGCGCGTCCCTGCGGGGGTAAGGCCTTCTGGGGGGATGGCAGGGGGGCCCCAGGGGATGTCCTGTGAGAAGGGTGTCCTGGGAGCCCCAGGGGATGTCCTGTGAGGAAGGGGGTCCTGGGGGCCCTAGGGGATGTCCGTGAGGAGGGGGTGCTGGCAGGGGCCCCAGGGGATGTCCTGTGAGGAGGGGGTGCTGGCGGAGGCCCCAGGGGATGTGCTGTGAGGAAGGGGTGCTGGCGGGGCCCCAGGGGATGTCCTGTGAGGAGGGGGACTGTTGCATTAATTGAGGTGGAATAAAGGGAACAGACGTGTTAACGTGACCCAGCCCCCGGCCAGCCCTGACCTGGGGGGAACAAGGCCCAGAGCTACAGAGGCGTCCATGGGCCCGCCCATAACGACCTCTGATTAACGAAGAGCCGGTGGGACCCAGCGCCAGGCTCTGCACTGTCTGAAGTGAGGCTTTCAGTGCCCCCGGCCCTGCCCTGGTCTGGGAGCAGCTGTACAAGGCCCACGACGGTCTGGGAGCCGCTCACGCCCGCTCTGGGGCACAGAGAAGGCAGCAGCCGAGCTGGGCAGGAGCTGGGGTTACAGCCCGGCCCCCTCTCCTCGCACACACAAGCCAAAGCTGCCCGGGGCCGAGCACAGCCCAGCTCCGGGGGAACGCGGCGTCTGGGGGACTCGCCCGGCAGCCTCGCTGCAGGACAAACCCAGGCCCGGCCGAGAGCCGCTAACTCGCCCAGCGCCGGGCTGGCCAAGGCCCCACCTCAACCTGCCTCCTGCTGGCCACGAGCTCAGTAGCTGGGAGGAAAAGCCAGAGCTGGGCCAGAGAGAGGACAGGTGGGGCAGGACAGGACACACGGGGACGGGGCAGGAGATGAGGCCTCCAGGCCCAGGGGCTGTGCTGCTGGCGCCAGGGGAGGTGGCAATGGCAGCGGGACCGCTCTCTGGTGTAGGGCCCAGCAGGGCCCAGGAGCTGGGGCTGGCAGCCAGGAGCGGATGCTCGATCCAGCAGCCAACATGTTTTCCCCAAGTTTATGACAGAGGCCTATAAAATCATGCCTGGCATGGGGAAAGTAAAGAATTACTCCTTCCCATCACCCGAGAACTAGGGGCCCCAAATGAAATTAACAGGCAGCAGGTTTAAAACAACCCCCCATGGAGGGGGGTTGCCCCAGGGGGGCACTGGCGGGGAGGTCCTGTAGGGGGGTTGCCCCAGGGAGGCGCTGGCAGGGGGGTCCCATGGGGGGTTGCCCTGGAGGGGGCGATGGCAGGCAGGAGGGGGTTAGGGAGAGGTGACTGTTTCAGGCACAGGTAAGTCCTGTCTCTGGGCCCCTTGGGGCAGGTCCGGGAGTCCAGCTGGGCAGCGTGGAGCTCAGTGACCCCGTGGGCCCGACCCCGGAGGAGCCATGAGGTGCAACCACAGCTCATGCTGTAACAATGCTGGTTCTGGCAGGACCCAACTGAGAGTGCCGATTCAGGACAAATTGCTTAAAACAGGGCAGTTACAGCCCTAGGCTGGGGTTTTTCCACCTCCAAGGCAAACCAAACCAGCCAGACAAAGAGGACTTCAGTCTCACCCCACTGGCTAACCACAAGTCACACAAACAATTCCCTTAGACACTCAAGTTTCCCAGTATTCCCACCAGTGCCACTTGTTATGGGGACGAATGGTTATGAAAACCAAGACCCCAGTAAAAGAAAAAAGGTTCTCCTGATCCCAAAGGACCAAGCCCCAGACCCAGGTCAATATACAAATCTGATCTTACCCACAAATCACGCTGTTGCCAATCCTTTAGAATCTAAAATCTAAAGGTTTATTCATAAAAGGAAAAAGATAGAGATGAGAGTTAGAATTGGTTAAATGGAATCAATGACATACAGTAATGACAAAGTTCTTGGTTCAGGCTTGCAGCAGTGATGAAATAAACTGCAGGTTCAAAATCAAGTCTCTGGGGTACATCCCCAGCTGGGATGGGTCATCAGTCCTTTGTGTAGAGCTTCAGTTTGTAGCAAAGTCCCTCCAGAGGTATGAAGCAGGATTGAAGACAAAATGGAGATGAGGCATCAGCCTTTTATGGTCTTTTCCAGGTGTAAGGACACCCCTGCATACTTTGCTGAGTTACAAGGCCTATTTGCCTTCTCTCAATGGGTCCATTGTATAGCTGATGGTCCTTAATGGGCCATCAAGCAGGCTAGGCAGAGCTAACACCAGTTTGTCTGGGATGTTACCCAGCAGCATAGCATAAGTTTGAAATACAGACAGTTTAGAGCCAATATTCATAACTTCAACTACGAAATTGACACACACATATAGACAGCATAATCATAACCAGCAAACCATCACTTTGTCTTAGACACCTCATTTGACCCCCTTTATACAAGATTTGGTGCCACTACAGGACCTTGGTTGCAACCATGTTCTATACGGTCCCAGTTTAAGTCAATAACGTGACACATGCACTAAAAACTAACAGGCTGCCGGGGTGTCACTGGGAGGTGCCCTGGGGAATGGCTGGCAGGGGGTGCTGGGGGGAGGCCCTGACAGATGGGGGCAGCGGGGTGCTGGGTGGATCCTGGAGGAGGGGGTTGCCAGGGGTTCCCTGGAGGTAGGGTGGGGTGGGCTCTGGCGGGGGGTGTGCTGGGTGGGGGGGTCCCTGGGGGCAGGGGGCACCAGGGGTTCCCTGGGGGTGGGGGTCTGTGGGGAGGGTCCCTAGGGGAGAGGCTGCCCAGGGGTGGCAGTGGGGCAGGGGTAGCCAGGGGCAGGCTCTGGGGTGGGGCTGGAGGTCACTGGGAGTGTTCCCTGGGGGCAGGGTGGGCTGTGGGGTGCTGGAGGGTCCCTGGAGGTGGGGGGCATTCCCCAGCAGTCCTCGGGGGCAGGAGAGGGTGTAGTGAGGGATGGGGATGTCAGGGGGTCCCTGGGGGCAGGAGATAGGGAGGGATGGGGGCACCATGTGGGGTGCATTGGGGGACTGTGTGGGGGCAGCAGGGGCGGGCTGTGCAGATGGGGGGCTATGGGGGTCCCTGGGGATGGCTGGGGGCGGGGCATAGTTAGGGATGGGGGCTATGGGGGTCCCTGGGGGCGGGGCGTAGGGAGGGGAGGGGGCAGCCCGGCTGTCCCGTGCAGTTCGCTCTCGCGGCGCTGCCCGTCACGGACTCTACGGGACGCGGCCCCTTTAAGGTCCCGGCGGCCCCGCGGGCACGAGGTGCCCCGCACAAAGATGGCGCCGGCGCAGCGACATGGGTCGGGCGTCACGTGATCCCGGATCTGCCTCGCCGGTCGGTGCCGTCTCATGCTGACGTGTGCGGGTTGCTGCGCGCAGGCGCGGTGGGGAGGGCCGGGTGTGCGCGTGCGCAGTGAAGGTCCGGCTGTCCGGGAGCCCCCAGACCCAGCGCAGCCGCCATGGGGCCCCGCCGGCCGCCCGAGCTCTACCGGGCCCCGTTCCCGCTCTACGCGCTGCAGATCCACCCGCGCGGGCTGGCCCTGGCGGCGGGCGGCGGCGGCGCGGCCCGGACCGGCGTCAGGAACGGCCTGGT